GGCGCGGCGCGCGCGGCGGCGCGGGCGGTGCGGCGCAGCCCGAGCATGCACCAGCGGATGAAGAGCCTGGTGGCGACCGCCAAGGAGCGCACGCAGGCGGCGCCGGTGGGGTCGCAGGACTTGGTGACCCTCAGGTGCGGGGGCTGGCCAGCTGTTGGGGATTGCCTGTCTGTGCACGTCCGCTTGACGACCCGGCCCGTTTCGAGGAGTGTCCGTGCGGCGGGCGCCGCGGGGCGGGGTCAAAGCTCGCTGATTGCCGTTATCGGCGCGCGCTCCTCAGCTTCACACCACGCCCCGCAGACCTGCGGCCATGCCTCAAGCCTGGGTCGTCCCCTGATTCCACCTCCTGCCCCCCGTGCTGTCGGCTTTGGTTCGACCCCGCTCAACACCAGCGCGACGCGCCGCCCCGCGTTCACCAACCCTGCGTCCACTGCAGGGGCGCGGGCCAGGTGGTGGGAGACCTCTGCCTAGGCGGCCGCCCCGCCCCCGCCTCCGCCACCGTGCGTGCGCGCAACCGGGTGCGGGCGCTGCTGGTGCGGCGCCAAGACGCGGACGCGCTCAGGAGCCAGCCGCTCGTGAAGGTGGGCGGCGGAGGTGGGCCAGAGGTTTGGGGGCTGGCTGCAGGCACGGCTGGCTGCAGGCTTGGATGCCTTTGGTGGCGGGCATCGGCGGCTGCGGCTGCCAGATGGCAGGTATGCTGCTAGCTAACCGGATAAATCCAACCCCGGCGGCGAGGAACGCTCGGACGCGCCTGCCGGACCACGGGCACGCCGAGAGGCGCACCTGCAGACGCTTGCTCACCTCGCCCCTCTCTGCTCCAAGGCCGCCCTTGCGCGGACGCAAACCGAGTCCTCAATTTTGGAAGTCCTGGAGCGCTTTGCATCTTTTGACTCAGAGGTCATGGCCGCGGACGAGATCCGCCGCGCGACGCTCGGCGCGGCCACCGGCTCGGGCGTCGGCGCGCCGCCGAGCCCGCTCAGCATGGGGCAGGGCGGCGGCGGCGGCGACGGCGGCGGCGGGCAAGGCGCGGGGGGCCCGTTCGGCCTGGGCGTGGCGGGGCAGTCGGGGCCGCCGTCGCCGAGGGGGCAGCTGCGGAGCCTGCTGTCGCTGCGGTCTGATCGGGGGTGACGGCGCAGCTGAGGTGAGGTCGTAAGGCTGCGGCCAAAGGTCCGCCGCCAACTAGTGGGTAACAACCTCAAGTGCCGCAGTGGGCAGCTGGGCAGGCAGGGGGGTGACGGGCACTCACAGTATGCGAGTATGAGGGGTGTGCTGTGGCGGTGTCGCGAATTGTCAGAGGGTACAGCGCAGAACAGCACCGGGCTTGCAAGGCGCCGGGGCACATGAGCTGGGAGTCATCAAGTGGCGCCGTGGCTTTGGCAGCCGCTGTGTGCGTGGGAGCAGAGGCCAGGGAGGAGGGAATGGCGTCCCAAGCTGGATCCAGGGGCGGCGTACCGTCGTGGATGCGTACTGTAGTGGGGTGGTGTGCTTGATTGACTGCTTTCCACTGGGTGGGTTGACCGACCAGGTTGACTGACGCGGCGGCCGGGCGTCAGTTGTGCACGCAATGGGGCAACCTCATTCTAAGTGCATGATCGTGCACAATATGCCACAACATTGAGGCGACCATGTACAGCGGGATCGCGCTGCAAATGCTTGCCGTCTGTGGTGGCGCAACAAGGCGCCAGTGAGGCGGTGCCACTCGAGCACTGGGCCACCTCGCTCCACAATTTCTTGCGTGTCTTGCCGGCCTTTGAATGAGATACAGGTCACACCGTAATCGCTATGATGTTAGCAATGTCAATCTTTCATGATCCTTTCAACAGACATACACGCGCGTGAAGCATAAGAATAATTCGCGCCCTCCACTAAGCCACCGCCACGCTCGACCGCGGACTCCCTTCGATAGCGCCTTTTTATAAACAGGATATCATCAGTCAATTACACTGCGCTTGGAGGACGAAGCACGCCAAGTGAGACTTTGGTGTGGTGGGACGTGCGAGGCAGTGCCTGACCAGTGGGTCTTGGGGTGGCAGCCAATGTATGCCTGCACCTTCGTCTTGGCGACGTAGAATGCCATTTTATCTTTTACGCATGCACGCCCCTTGGTTGGGCGGTGGTTGCGCCTTCGCCTGTGGATTCTTCAGCATATATCCGGCCCCGGGCTCTCTTGACGCTCTGCCGTGCCTCCATCGCACTCATGTTCAATGTAGGTGTGCTTGTCTGCGCTGCGTCGCTATGGCCGGCAGCCCCGCGGCAGCCGTGGCGATGACGACGCCCGCCCCTGCACTGCCTGTGCGCGAGGCGCTTGCAGCAATGCAGCGCGCTGTGCGGCAGGGAGAGATCGAAGAGGTGCGATGGCGCATTGCAAAATTGGGTTTACAGCTTAGCAGCTGCTGCAGCCGCCTTCAAAGAGCTTGCACGGCCGTAATGACAATTACCCGGAAATCAGTGCAACAGACGCCCCCTCGCGGCGCCTCTGGTCATCACCGGCATGCTGGGTCAATAGCAAGCCTCCCTTGACCCATTCGAAATATGCATCCTTGAGCCGCCCGCCTGCCGCCTGCCACACCCGGCCAACCCCTACGCACTTGCGCGCCCCCCCCCACCCCGCAGGCCCGCCGCGTCGGCGCCTCCGCCGCCGTTCCCCTCAGCGTCGCCCCCTCCCAGCTGGACCTCGGCCCCGAGCTCTCCCGCGGCGCCGAGGCCGTCGTCGTGCGTGGCCGCCTGGCAGGGCGGGACGTGGCCGTCAAACGCTTCACCATAGCACGGTCTGAGGACCTGCACCGCTTCCGGAGCGAGCTGGCGCTTATGTCGGAGCTCTCCCACCCGGCCATCTGCCCCGTCCTCGCCGCGCACGCGCTGCCGCCAAGCTACCTCCTAGTCATGCCGCTCGCGGCCGGCACGCTGCACGGGCGCGTGCACAGGCAGGGGTGGCGGCCCTCTTGGCGGGAGCTGCTGGCCATAGGCGCCGCGCTGGCGGACGCGCTCGCCGCGGTGCACGCAAAGGGGGTGGTGCACCGGGATGTGAAGTCGGCCAACGTGCTGCTGACCGAGGAGGGTGCCCCCCTGCTGTCAGACTTTGGGCTTGCGGCGCCTGCTGAGCTGCTGGCGGCGGAGAACAAGATCACGCAGGCGGCCGTGAGGTCGCGGGGCATGCCGTCAGGTGTGTAGTTGTCTGTGGATGTGTTGTGTGTGTGTTTGCGCGCATGTGTTTGCGTCTTTTCGCGCTTGTGAGTGTGTGTATTTGTGTGTATGTGTCTAGGGAGGCTAGCAGCTCTGGGAAAAGCGGTTGAGAGCCAAGCTGTGCGCATTTGGCGGTTGGGATGGGTGAGGCAATGGGTGCCATTCATTAACGTGCATGCTTGTGCAGCGCGCACGCGCACGCGCGCACACACACACACACACACACACACACACACACACACATGCACACACAAACACACACGCACGCACACACGCACACTCCACTCACCAGCCGCCCTCTCTCGCCAACCCGCCACTTTCCAGGCGGCTTCCACAAGCGCATGGTCCTGGGCACCCTCGAGTACATGTCCCCAGAGGTCCTCCTCAAGCGGCCCTCCTCCTTCGCATCGGATGTCTACGCCCTCGCCATCACCATCAACGAGGCGGCAGCAGGCACCTACCCATTCTCGGACTGCACCAAGGACAACCCCGACATACACACAGTCTTGGAGCACGGCTACGGCCGCCAGGAGCTTGCCGCGGCGGTCGCCGCGGAGGGCCTGCGCCCGCTGCTGCCCGCCGGCGGCGCGCCGCCCGGATACGCGGAGCTGATCCAGGCGTGCTGGGCGCTCGACCCCGCCGCGCGGCCGTCTGCGGCCGACGTCGCGCGGCGGCTGGCGGAGATCGCCGCGGGGGTGCACGAGTGGGAGGCCGCGCGGCGG